CAAGTTTCACAACTCGTGCACGCCCAATCATCTTCAGGAACATCCGTAAGCATTCAACGGTCGTAGCCATAGTATAGTCGTCACATGGTTCCAAAGTCGCGCGCTCCTTTGGGTACAAGTTTGTTCCTTATCATAATTACATGCTTCGCAAAGGAAAGCCATCGTTTTTTCAGCATCAGGAAAATGCATGGGATGACCACCGTGCGCAAGTATAGCATACCTCGGTCATGGGCGTGGGGATCTCATGTTCGTGGCAGAAATAAGCTAAGCAGCTGACAGCGCGTGTGGTTGTCGGCCAGTGCGGCGGCATTTGAGGATTGTCCAATACAGTGCGAAAAGATCACGAAACAATTGGAAGAATTAGTGGGGGATCTGGAACGCGACCAATGGGAATGCAACGAGCCTGACGAGGGACATTTCGAAGAAATCGATAATCGCATACGAGGTTTGGAAAAAAACAATTAGACAAGTGGGAGAGGGCAGGATGCGAAGATAGCAGCTGTCCAAGTGTGGGTGATGCACGTACAGTGTTGGAAGAAGCTCGAGTACACCAGCAAAGCCAGAAGGTGAAATTGAACGACATGGTTGTCTCACGTGGAGGATCTTGCCATAGAATTGGATGTGTCTGTTCTCGTGGCTTGTGTCATTATCGTGCTGGCCCCTCAACTAGTGGTGCAGATCGTCGCGGCGGCCGTCGCCAGGGGCTCGTTGAACTTGTTGTGAGCATGGCTGACGGCTGTCTAAGGAGGCACGTGTAGGTTGCACACAATCCATATTTGAAATGACCGCCAGTGCAGTCTGAGTGATAGTGCAATTCGATATTGCGAACGTGGGGGAAAACTGTGCTTAGGCTCTTCAAGCTCGTTCCTTAATTCTTGACGCTCGCTCCCAGGGATAGATTCGGTCAGAGGCTTCCCAAACTTCACGGTTGCAGAGCTGCGCAATCTAAGGCGATACCTAGTCCTTGGGATTGCGCTCCGTTTTGAAAGAGCGGGCCTTCTGTAGAGGTTGGGAGACGATTGGGTGAGGGATCAAGAGAAGGATATGAAGAACCTTAGGACTCAATACATTTTTGCCTGCTGTAGTTGCAGCATTGTTCAATCATTCGACCTTGCTGCATGAGCGTTGCGCGACCGCGACGCACCATCTCCGTGCGAAGTAGTGTGCGTGCGCGGCCGGTCCATCCGTGCTCTGAGGCTTGACCTTGGCCTCGAGGCGGACAGGATCAAAATCATCACCTTTCTCCCTCTCCCTTCACCCTGCCCACTCCTCAAGTGTGAACGCTGCTGTATCTTTCAGAAACCGTTGCGTGCTTCAGTTGCAGCACTGTTCAATCATTCGACCTTGCTGCATGAGCGTTGCGCGACCGCGACGCACCATCTCCGTGCGAAGTAGTGTGCGTGCGCGGCCGGTCCATCCGTGCTCTGAGGCTTGACCTTGGCCTCGAGGCGGACAGGATCAAAATCATCACCTTTCTCCCTCTCCCTTCACCCTGCCCACTCCTCAAGTGTGAACGCTGCTGTATCTTTCAGAAACCGTTGCGTGCTTCAGTTGCAGCACTGTTCAATCATTCGACCTTGCTGCATGAGCGTTGCGCGACCGCGACGCACCATCTCCGTGCGAAGTAGTGTGCGTGCGCGGCCGGTCCATCCGTGCTCTGAGGCTTGACCTTGGCCTCGAGGTGGACAGGATCAATATCAATACTTTTGTCCTTCTCTCGTCACCCTGCCCCCTCCTCAAGTGTGCACGCTACTGTATCTTTCAGAAGACGTGGCCAGGAGGATAGATGCTGGCGAAAAAGAAGAAGAAGAAGAAGCCCCGTGAGGCTCCCGAGAGGCCCCCCGGAAGCTCCAATAAGCCCCCAAGGGCCCCCCAGGGAAGCCCCCTGCGGGCCCCCAAGAGACCTCGGTAAATCGTATTTCCCAGAGCTTTCCGGGAACATGATTCCTTGGGCTTCCGCCCACCGCCCCAACCATGTTTCCAATAGGCTTGCCGACAAGGCCAAAAAGGGCTTCTCGGTACGCCCCCAGAGCCCCCCCTCTTAAGAAAGCCGAATAAATCATGCTCCCGGAAAGCTTGCCGGGAACATGGTTCTCGGGTTGCCGCCCTCTCCCCAAACCATGTTTGTAAATGCCTGCCAGGATGAAAAAACGCGAGTCCCAAGCAGCGCTATCTGCCGGCACGCTCGGAAACGCGTCAGGCCCCGAAGCCTCCGGAGGCGCCCAACAACACCCCAACAAATCATGTTCACAGGAAGTCTGACGGCAACTGCCGCCGACGTTGAAGGAGGATGGTCCAGGACACCCAGGAATCTTCCAAACAGTCTTCCAAGAAGGCGCCGAGACAGCCCAGGGCCGCCCCTAGACGGCCCAACAAAGCCCCAACACAGACGAAAAGGGCCGCAAGAGGCCCCCAGGGCCCCCAAGAGGCCCCGAAACGAGGACAGATCATTCGAACACGCCCAAGATGGCCTCCGGACGCCCTCAAGGCTTCCAACACGGCCCAAAGGGACGCCAAAATCATTGATTGTCCTTAGGCTTTTGATGGATTTCAGACACACAATGTCGCCCCAACACGCCCCCACGAGGGCGCCGAGACGGCCCATCGACGCCTTGCCGCGGGCACGAGGCGGGGCCCGGGGGGGGCTGCCGTGGCGCTGGGGGCCTTGCAAAGTCGCCCGAAGACGGCCCTGGCGTTTCCAGACAACGAAAACGACCAACGACAGCCCGAGATCACCCCAGAATGGTCCCTGACTGTCCAAGAGGCCTCCAAGACGCCCCAAGAGGTCTCCAAGATGGCTCCCAAGGAGCCCCAGGAGGCACAACTAATTTGGTTTCCGTTGCTTTTTGATCGATTCTTGAGTCCTCGCCTTTTGAGTTTCCTGACGCTCCACGACGGCCCAAGAGGCTTTAATTTCCGCTCCAAGGCATCCCCGGAGGCCTCGAAGACGGTCACAAGACAGCCCACGGGGGTCCCAAGACGGCGCCAGAGGCGCGCAAGGCGGCCCGAGAGGGCCCCAAGACGGCCCCAAGATGGAGCCAAGAGGGTTGACACGAACCGAAAATCCGAGTCTTCCATCCCGAGAGGCTCTCAGGAGGCCCCTAGAAGCCCCTAACAGGCTCCAAGAGGCCCCAAGAAGCCCCCCAGGGGGCCGAAGAGTATCCAAGAGGCCTCCCACGAAGGGCCCAAGAGGCAAAAATCCATGTCTTGCCATACTTAGGTTTTTGATTGATATTCGAGTTTTCAGCCTTTTGGCGTCCTGACGCTCCAAGACGGCCAAAAGGCCTCCAAGACCAATCCAAGATAGCCCAAGAGGCCTCGAACAGGGCCCAAGACAGCCCGAGAAAGCACCAATACGGCCCCAAGGGGGGCCCGAGAAGGGTAAGACGAACCGAAAATCCAAGCCTTCCACCCCGAGAGGCTCTCAGGAAGCCCCAGAAGCCCCCAAATGGGACTCAAGAGGTTCCAAGAAGCATTGTTTTCCCATCGGCCTTTGATGGATTTTAGAGTTCCCAGCCTTTTGGCATCCCGACGCTCCAAGACGGCCCAAGTGGGCCCCCACGGCCGCTCCAAGATAGCCGAAATGGCCTCCAAGAGGGCCCCAAGACGGCCCACGAGGGCCCCAAGACGGTGCCCGTGGCGCCCAAGACGGCCCGAGAGGGCCCCAAGAGTGCCCCAAGAGAGCCCCAAGAAGGGGAACGCGAACCCAACAGCAGAGCTTTCCGCCCAAAGCCTCATCAGGCCCCAAAAGGCTAACAGGAGACGTACACGGGGCCCCAATATAGCTGAACAGTGCTCTCGATGCATCAAAAGTGCTTCAAACAGGCCCCGGGAGGCTTCCGGATTGCCTCAATGTGGGCCTCAAGCCGGGCTTCCACGCAGCCAAGACGGCCAATTGCCTGCGTCAGACTTCAGAACATCACTTTTCGATTGCCTGGAGAACCCTGACGATGCCCCAAAGGGACCCCAAGAAGCCTCAAGATGCCCCCCCGAGAAGCACCCAAGAGGTGCCACCAACAGCCAATTGAGGAAGCAGGGAGAACCCCCCAGAAGCCCTTCAGATGCCCCCACGAAGACCCAAGAGGTTCCCAAGAGGCTCTCAGGAGGCACGACTATGTCACGCGCCTGTCCTTGATAGCGCTGTCCAAGATCTTCTAGCGCGCCCCCGTCCTGGGCTAGAATCTGAGCGCGCGCGAAGCGCGCGATATTTCTAGTGTATATATATATGTATATATGTATACACATATAGTGTATGTATGTATGTATGTATGTATGTATGTATGGATGGATGGATGGATGGATGGATGTATGTATGTATGTATGTATGTATGTATATGTACATGTACATGTACATGTACATGTATATGTATGGATGTGTTGATGCATGTATGCATGCATGTATGCATGCATGTATGTGTGTATGTTTTGTATGTATGTATGTATGTATGTATGTATGTATGTATGTATGTAAGTGCGGATGTATGTATGCATGTATGTATGTTTGTATGTATGTATGTATGTATATATGTATGTATGTATGGATTGGATTGGATTGGATTGTATTGCATTGTATTGTATTGTACGTATGTATGTATGTATGGATGTATGTAATGTAATGTCATGTCATGTCATGCCATGTAATGTAATGTAATGTATGTAGGTAGGTAGGTTGGTTGGTAGGTAGGTAGGTGTGCGTGCGTGCGTGCGTGCGTGCGTGCGTGCGTGCATGCATGCATGCATGCATGCATACATGCATGCATATTTGTATACGTAATGCATTACCAACATCTTATAAATGGAGGGAGGGAGAGAGGGAGAGAGAGCAGGGTGGCGGGAGAGAGAGAGAGAGAGAGAGAGAGAGAACGATCTATCTATATATAGAGAGAGAGAGAGCTCTGCTTTTTACGTGTGCCGCTCTATCTGGCGTTCCATTCCAGCATTTGTCGCACTTTCGCGCCCCTGCTCGTGTTTGGAGGGCGTCTGTGTGTGCCTTGCGCCAGGCAACCACTCGCTGTGGCGACACTGGCGTTATCAAGCTGGGCCGCAGCAGCATCTTCGACTCGAGGGAGGCTTACGACAGCGAGCTCTTAGGCGATACGGCTTTCCAGCAGGTTCCGAGTTCCCGGCCCTCCTCAGGGGCTTTCGGTGGCAAATCATGGGAGCCTTGTATGTCCTGGTAACTCCGTCTTCAGAGTGCTTTGGCGTGCGCCAGCGCTTGGTAATCAATCGGTTGGACAGCGCCGATTTAGCGTCCACTAGCTTCGACTAGCGACGACGAGCGTCGACCAGCACCGATGAGCAAGAGCCAGCAAGATGGCAGGGAAGGCTGCGATGACAGGCCAGCCACGACTGGGGGAGCTGTGGTCCTTAATCCCCCTGGGGGTCCCATCGATTTCGACACCCCTCGAGAGAGATCGTCGATACGATGGGTTCCCCCAGGGGGGTAAGGACAACAGCTCCCCCAGTTGTGGCTGGTCGGGATGAGTTGCCACCGAGGGGGCTGCCACGTAGGGTCGATGGTCAGAGCGTCAGAGCGTCAGCATCATCGTGACCGATCGTGCCACCAGGTCTTTGCCAGCTGGGGCCAGCCGGGAAGCCCAGGAGAAACAGGCAGGAGCCACTGGGCTGCGCGCGGACATGGGCGGTTCGGCCATACCCACGAGGGGCGACCCAGTTAGTCGTTTTGGGGTCCCGGGGACATCGCCAGGCCACGCGACCGTCAAACAATGATTCGGCATGAAGCAGATGTTCCGGGAAAAGCGCAGGGTCCAGGATGCGGTTCCATCAGGGCCCGCTTCCCCCATGCCAGAGAGAAGGAGAGAGGGGGGGAAGGGAGGGGGGAGGAGGAAGGAATGAGAATGGAGATCAGGAAGAGGAAGGACGAGAGAGAGATAGGGAGAGAGAGAGAGTTGTGACTTCGTTGGCCGCCTAGAGGGCGCTCTGCAAGGAAACGGCGAACATACGTGCGAAGTACGAGGGCCTAGGTTTCGCCAACTACGTGTCAGAATACGTTTGAACTACTGTTTGAGCGCATGTAGTCCTCGTGGAACTACCCATCGCACTTGTGAGAATACGGCGCGCGTCGCGAACGCCGGCTTCGTAACACAAAACAAAGAGTAGACGGGAGGAGGTTGGAGGAGAAGGGTCTATATGACTAGGTTAGCAATGACAGGATGAGGAGAAGGAGGGGGGATTATTTGAGATTGGCCTGGGGGGCGTGCTAGGCGTTTTACTTTTAATCAGTTGGCCTGCGATGCGGATATGCCCTGATGTTGCAACGATTGCTTATGCCCCCCCCGTCCATGCCTCCTGCTCAGAGGTCGCCCGCCTTTTTAGGTATGACCCGACAGCATTAGCCCGCATGTGTCTTGAAACGTCCACCCCGATTGCTTGGGCCCTCGAGCGAACGCATTTCGGATATAATAACTGTGTATGCGCATGTCTTGGGAATGTCTGAGGTTCGCGTCTGGGGGGCTTTGTGGGCGCAGGCGCTGGTGCCTTGGATTTGGCGCAGACAGAGAAACGCACATCGCTTAGTTGCGTTGCGTTCGTTGCATTGAGCGGAAACCGCCAGATATCACGCGAGTTGGTTTGGGGTATTCGTTGGTGTGCACATTCGTATGGATTTCGGCTCGAATCTTTCTGGTCGGCCTTTTTGTTCTCTCCGGACTCAGCATATTCGTGCTTCTCCAAATGTGCTTCGGATGCCTTGGACGTTGCCGTCGTCTTCTGGGGATGAAGGCGAGCCAGTTGGTTGGGGTGCAATCATTGCAAGTGCAGAGTTGTCGGATGAGGATGTAACAGGAAGTGGTCTCATGCATGATGGCGCGACAACTGCTGCAGGAGGTCCAGCTGGGGAGGCAGGGCCTGCACACGTTGTTGATGGGGGCAGTGCTGTCGGTATAGGGGGCGTTGCACGTGGAGGGGCCATCGTTCCAGCGCCAGACTTCGATTGCACTGGGATTTCTGATCGCCAGCTTTGTTTGCGTCGCCCTGGTATGCGGCCCAGGTCATTGAAATCTATTGTGAAATCAGCTTTTGGGGGTATACCGAGAGATATTGCTGTATCTGCCAAGGACATTATGCCGCTGGAGCTTGGAAGGTTCGCTGCCATTGCTCATGCAATCGTTCGTGAGAATGAAGGCGGCCAGTCGTGTGCTGACAGAGTTGTTTCGACAGCTATCGATGATATGTTTCGGCATCACCGCCCCATTGAATCGATGGCATCTCAATCAAATCGGCTCGGCTTGGACACGCGATTCGCTAGTTCGATTGAGCAGCGCATCGGCATCTGTGGAGCTGCCCTCGAGAGGAGGGATGCATTTTTGATGTGTGATCAATTGTGCAACGAATTTGAGGCCATGGGTAGTCGCTTGATGGTGTTCTACGAGTGCGTGCAGTACGACGAGACGCAGCAGAGGGCCAGGAGAAAAGAACTTGAGGGTTGTGCTGCCGTTTCGCACCACGGCGCCATTATACCAACGGCTGATTCGGCCATGGTTCAGGTTGAACAAAAATCCAATACTCTTATGAAGGTATTGCAGACGAACAGAAGATACGCCATGATGATTCGTCACACGCATTCGTATGTTTTGATATCGTTCGATATTGCATGCTGGCTTCAATCGATGCAGCGCGGAACTGGAGAATGCTACCACGAGTGCTTGACAGAGTCGCATTGCAAACACATGGACGAGATCTCAAAGAGGTTCGAGAGAACTCAGAGGTTACCGATGACCGATGGGGATGGCGCAGTGGAGAAGGCAGAGAGGTACATTGATCGGTCGTCGCTCAGGGTCAAATGCATCGCCCACAGAACAGCCAACACGTTCAACGAGGTTTTCAGACCGTGGGAGGATATGATATCCTTCGTGATCAATGCGAGCATCAGCCTGAGGGGGCCCAACGCTTTATCTGGTTTCAGGTCTCATCTGAATCGCTACATTGAAAAAGAGCTGGTGTTCAGACAAGGCGAGGACCCGCCATACCGCAACCTCCAATACATTGATCAATTGCTGGATTTTTTTGTCCCTCGGACATGCAACACAAATAAGGTCCGCAGAGCAGCGTTCCGTTCCCTGTGCAACGGCGAGCTTTGGAGACCAACGTTTACGCATTATTGCAATGGGTGTTGCAGAGACAGGCTTCATTGCATTCGGCGAATGAAATGTCTATTGGTTCCACTGCTGGCTGGGAGCCCGCCGACAGAATGGCCTCGACATCGGTGGGAGGGAATGGGAGGCGGGTGCACTGACATGTTGAGGAGTATGGGGGCAGGACCCGATGACGGTAGAGGGATAAGGGGTGTGCGTTTTCATCGGACGTGTGGCTGGTAGCGGCGACTGGGTATTCGTGGGGCAGGGTACGAGAGTGCTTTCGTTAAGCATGTGCTTGCGAAGTTGTTGTGGGGATGATTGGTGTGCGTAGGGCTTCCAGAGATGATTTGTTTGCTTGCTGGAGTTAGCGGTAGCATTCACATGCATGTGTCATTGCCAGCTGTGCGTGCGCAGTGTAGGTCGCAGAGAGGAGAGGATGGAGGATGCTTGCTCGTCGGGCGGGGGTTCGCGTCGTCGTTGTCTGCTCGCGCGCGAATCGGTCGCTGAGTTGGGGCAGGTGGACTGGCTCTGACCTGTCGGTCAACTGGATCGGCCTGTTGCAGGGCGCCCACGGTTTGTTCGGCATCGTATTTCAGAGGTGGGCCAAGTCTCTCGGCATAACCTCCGAGACCGCCCCCGACCCAGGCGCCCTCCCCATTGAAGATGCGACGGTCGCGCCAGGCCCCAGCGGCGCAGGCGCTATCGCCGATGATTTCGAGGAGGAGAGGAAAAAACAATCTAAAAGCAGGGCATGCGTGTTGCGAATGTTGGAGGTTGGCGGGGTCTTCGGGAACATCGTGGCAATTCGTGCGTGCATAGAGCCTCTTCGGGACCTCATGGACACGGCGTTGTCAACCGCTGGCCAGACATGGGATTTGAAGCAGGAGACGTCAGAGATCGATCACATGAGTCGCACTGAAGGTGAGGGACAGGGTCGCGCGTACAGGCTCCTTCAGCTTGCAGATAACACCCCCTTCGAAAACCCGATGTCCATGACGTGGGAGTTTATGTTTGGAGGTCGTCGGGGCCAGGTAACCCAAATCAGTTGTCCAAGGTGAGCTTTCAGGCCAGATGGTCCTGCGCTGCGTGGGACTCGTTCGACTTCCCCCCCCTGGACCTTCCCAAATTCCCCTCTCTGACCCGCCCCCCCGCGAATTTCCCACCGGCCTCAAACTATTTGTTTTGGCAGGGGTGGGCTTGTCATTCTCATGGTTTTCGCCTGCGTTTGCCTTGTCAGAAGCCCCGTTGGAATTTATCCAGGTGCCCCTCAGACCCGCCCGAGAAGACGCGCATTCCGTAGCGCCCCCCCCCCGCCGAGCCCCTGGCCCCAGGAGGGATGGTGAAAGCCGTGTGGGGCGGAAACAATTGTTTACGAACATTTCAAATGGCGAGTTTGTTTTCGGTTGTTTGCCTTCGGAGGTCAGTTCAAGTTGATCCCCGTGTCTGACCAGGTGGCTACTTTGAGGAATAAGTTATTCTCCACGTTGTCGTCTCTCGCTTGCCATTTGCATTTGATCATGTCAGAGAATTCGAACTACCCGCTGAAAGTGATACGTCTGTGGAGCAATCATAAGCTCGGGGATCTTGCGCACGAGAACCCATGCAGGTTCGACCCGTGGACCTCTAAATTCGTTAATCATTACAAGGGCAATGTAGAGGAGATGGGTGCAGAGATCATGTCGACCCTCATCTTGGGCTTGGTTGATAATGCACCGTGCGAGGCAAACCATGCATCTATCAGGCGGCTCCTCCACATTCTCGGCGTTCAGACGCATCGTGTCAATTTTAGCAATGCTAGCGCGAAGTGGTTGATTCGAAAGCTAAGCAAGCACCAGTGTACATTGGATGAATACAACAAAAGTGAAAACCCTACTTCTGTGAGAAAGCGAGGAAAGACTTCTGGGGGCACAGGTGGGCCTTGGAGGGCCTTCGTCAGAGCGCTAACGAGGGGCTGCAGCGGCCTTCCCGACATGAAGCACATGGGGGAACTTTACAGAGAGATGAAAAGCAACAAC